TCATTTACAAAGTATCTGGTTATGTTTACACAAAATAACTTTGAGAACCATTTGATTTATTCAGATGATATGGCTTTTGGAGAAAAGTAGTTTAGTCATTCGAACTATAAAAAAAAATCATGTTTGTTTACATTTTTAATGTCATTGAAATGTCGATGAGCAATCTGCCTTTTGTGGTTTTGTAAAAACGATGTACTTTTAAACCTGGATTTTCTCACATACTGATCATAATGTTGAACCATTTTAACACACAGTTTTATTTTGTTGTAAATTTGTCCTTGTAATTAATTAAATTAGATTAGTAATTGACCTTGCATATGTCTTCTCGATAAGATTGAATTCACGATCCTATACAAGAGCTTTCACGATCCAATCGCAATACTTGACCACCGTTAGGTATTCTTTCACGATCGTTTCTCTCGATTAACCGAATGACATCCGTGAAGTTATGTAATTTAATAATTCTTAGTTATTGCCCAAAAAATCAAGAGTAATGCATTCATGATGTGGGACATCCACATTTTTCTTAAATCCCGGAAAATATGTTTTAAAAACAATAATGTATACTTATTGCCACTTATTTATTATAGTTTTAAAGGTCCTTGATGTATCTACCTCAAATACATAACGCATTCAATCCAAAAATATTAATTCAAGTATCGTGCCATTAACAAGTTAAAAGTCGCATAGACAGCCGAGGGGAAAACGGCGAAAGGGTGTTCAGTCATATGAACAAAACATAGTTCACCATCTGACATCCTCCTATACCGTATGTGCCTAGTAGCTGCAGGTCACACAAACATATCGCACTTTAAGAATTAATCGTTATATTGAAATATTCATGATATACGACAGTTTTTACCGTGACTCGTAAGATATTGAGTAAAAACATTCGCAATCATTACCAGTTTCAATGGTATATGCATGTCAAAAAAGAAACAGTTGACATGAAATTACTTTTAAAATTAGAAGGAATAACACGATATACTTACTCAACTTTTTAAGTTCCTGATTTATCTTCTGGATTATACAAAATTCTATTTTATCTTCGTGATCCTCTGTGTGTAAATAAAAGTATAAACTGCTTCGCTCAACAACAACGTTGCTACTGATGATATTATGACGTCCGACGTCAATCGAAGTCGTCACTAATTTCCTCCTTACTTCGAGATGGAAAGGAAGCGCTTTGTATGATATACTAGTAAGTAATCGACGGTGATGTATGTTTTCAATGAATTGTATGCAGTTTTTAAAACAAGAAAAACGGATAAAAACAAAAAGAACATTTAAACGGCCAATAAGTCATATTATTAAAAACTAAAGCAGCTATAGCAAAACTTACAATGGGTAAAAATAATTACCCTGAAATTTTTCAGAAAAACCGGACGACCCAATTTTGAGTGATTGTCCTTTAAATGTCCATCTTTAGCGAATTTTGCAGGTTTTTTTTGCAATTTTAGTCAAAACTATAATTTAAAAAAGGTCAAAATGACTAGCAAGAAAACAACCACTAATAAATTAAATTGATGGAAATCGTCCATCAACTCCTTACAGAAGTTATTGCCCTTGAATGACGATATTTTCTTAACGTTTTTGGTCAAAATATGAAAAACTACATTAGTTAGAGAGAAACCTTAAATCGTTCAGCTAGATAAGATCTACATATGATTTAATGCGTCAAAATCGTCAGTTGACTCAGTATAGGAGTTATTGCCTTTCATTGGTAATGTAACCCATTTTTTGCATATTTTGTAATAGCTATGGTAGATAAAATGAAACTGCAAACAGAAAACGATCAGCAAGAAAGTATTAAAAAAATACCAAATAGCAAGAAAATTTCTACATACGGGTTATAAAAGTCGAAATTGTCAGAAGACTCCTTTAATATTATAGTAACTGTTTTATACCAATGTTATGCGTTATTCACTTTTACTAATATCTTGAAAACTATAATCGATAGAGATAAACGAATACCAACATATGACTAGCATATTAAAAATCATATACAAATTATTGAATATCGCCTAAACTCTCTGTAGACTCCTTGTAATCTTTTGTTCCTAAAAGACGATTTTTAAACATTATGCACACTAGCTATAATCTTGAAAACTGTTGCAGATAAAGAAAACTTTAAACAAAAAAAATACTCAGCAAGACAAGCTCTACAATCAATTATAATGACCGAAATTGTCAATTGAATCCTTATATGAGTTATTGCTCTTAAACGATGATTTTAATCAATTTTTGGCTAATATCTTGATTACTAATAAATAGAAAGAGAGAGACTGTGAACAGCGACTGCAACAAGTATGGCAAGCAATTTTACTATTTATTCTAACTTTAAGATATCTTATAAACTTTATAAGATATCTCATATAGTTAATAAAATATCTTATATAGTTTATAAGATATCTCATATAATCTATACGATATCTCATATAATTTTCTTTATAAGATATCTAATAAATTATAAAAGATATCTTATAAACTATATAAGATATCTTATAAACTATATAAGATATCTTATAAACTATATGAGATATCTTATAAAGTATATAAGATATCTTATAAATTTTAGAAGATATCGTATAAAGTATATACGATATCTTATAAACTATATGAGATATCTTATATAATATATAATAAGATATCTTATAAAAACTAGATCCTATAAGATATCTTATAAACTATGTGAGATATCTTATATAATGTATAATAAGATATCTTATAAAAACTAGATCCTATAAGATATCTTATAAATTATATGAGATATCTTATCAACTATATGAGATATTATAAAATATATGAGATATCTTATATATTATATGAGATATCTTATATATTATATGAGATATCTTGAAGTTAGAATAAATAGTTAAACGGCTTGCCATAAACAAGATAAGATCTATAAATATGTGAAAAAAACTGATTTTGTGGATCGACTTCTTATAAGAGTCACTGTCCCTATTAAAGTGGTAATTTTTGAGTTTCATTTTTTGCCATATAAAGAGCATGCATGCATCAAAAATGATCAACAATTTACACAAGATCTACAAGAAAATAAAAAATTGGAAGTCAATTAACTCCTGCTCAATATTTTCAAATATTATCCGAGTGGATCTGGATCCTACCTGATCACATTCATACTTAGAGGATGAAAGATGGCTGCCACAGTTTCTAATGATTTAAATGTTGCATATTTTACCAGATGTGCGATTCAGGTTCCTTTGGGCCTTTAGTTTAAATCCTAGTCCATTTTATGTAATTACTTTGACAATATACCGTAAACACGACAAATGAAAATAAGGAGGATGTAGTACGATTGCCAATCAGACAACTTTGAATATATAAAAATAAGAAGATGTGGTATGATTAATTGCCAATGAGGCAACTCTCCACCAGAGACCAAGCGATGCTGAAGTTAACAACTATAGGTCAACGTACGGTCTTCAACAATGAGTAAAACTCATAACGCATAGTAAGCTATAAAAGACCCAATAATAACAAATATAATACAATTCAAATGAGAAAACTAACGACTTGATTCATGCACAAAACAAAAAACGAAAAACAAATATTTTATACAACAACAAACGACAACCACTGAATTACAGGCTCATAACTTGCAACAGGCGCATACAGAATCTGGCGGGTTTAAACATATTTGCGGGCGTCAAACCCCCAACCCCTCCTAAAAATGGTAGTGGTGCAACATCACATTTTGTGTAGATCTTTTTCTGAGCATCCCATCTGGACCTGTTGCAAAAACACTTTTTTTGGTTTAAAAATATTTTACCAAGTAAAATTCAATATACAACAAAATATCTGAAACTTGAAAATAAATCTTAAGTGTCGTTAACTGTATTTAAAATTGTCAGTAAAAATCCGTTTAAAATCAAGGGCAGATAATCATATTGAATTTGATAGGAAAATTTGTGTTTTTTTTTTTATTTTTCAAGAAAATAAAGCCCGTGGCCCTCTATTTCTATTTGATATTTCTGTATTATTTATGGAAAGCAATTCATTCATAGAAATTTAACCAATTCTATCGTTTAATTTTTTCTCAATAAGGAAAGATAAGGTTTCACCTATATAACCCATATATTAAATGAGTCTTATAAAATAAGCAAATTATAGACGTGATTTCGTTAATTTCAATGTATTTAATTTTTAACTATAAAAAAAAACAAAAAACTCCGTGACCCAGTTTTTATATTGAAAATTGAAAGTACATTGACCCTAAAGTCTTTTACAGAAGTTTGAAAAATCGTATCGTCGAACATTTAGACACTCCAGCTACTTTAAGAACAAACAATAGCGATTTTCCCCAAATAAAAATAATGATCTTTTATCCGAAATGTGATGTGATATATCGGCCGATGGACAAGAACAGCTCATTCAAATGGAATTTCTTGAATTCCATGAGAATTGATAAATTCAAAATTTCTATACCAGTATATTTAGAAAGTCACTTGACACCACCCAACACCACAAAAAATAAACAGGACACATAAAGTTCAACTGATACTTACATTGTTTTTGCCAAAGAGTCTGCTAATGATAACTCTGTCCAATTTAGAAAAAAACCAATTGTGAATAGAAAACAGATCGAGACATTCAAAGTTTTGCCCACAAAAACAAATTCCCCAGATGTAGAAAAAAATCTTGCAAAGTTGTTCATTTTAGTGTTTAATAGACGACTGAATTAGAAATTAGAAGAGATCAAAAAGTCACTATAGTTTAAGAAACAAATAAATAAAGTCGTCTATAATTTCCTCATTTAATAAGACTCATTTAATGAAACGATTGACTTAGAAATAGAGGTTCAATGTTTTCTAGAATTACAATGATTCTGTGAAAAACGATATATATACAAGATTCCTTTACATCGATAAAAGGGATAGGGTTCAACTTCCCCCAATCGGCGTACGCCAAGTCGCAAAAAGTCGGAGAGACGACGGCTTTGCTTCGGAAGTTGATTCGAGTTTTATAATCCGGTATTGGGGTTTGACTAATGCCCAGATTTCTCCTTTGAAATGTATGACGTGTGGTACCTTCTAGTTCATATATTACTTACACTTATTGTTTGTTCAATTTGTGTATCTCTAGAAAACGGTGGATGGTAGGTGAATGGTTTTTGCCCAAATTCCGCAATTTTAATTCCCCAATTTTAGCCAATTTAGTTTTTTCATGATAGATCATGATAACAGACCCTGTTCTGAATTTTAAAAAAGTTTCCTAAAAATAATTTTGTTGGATGAAAGATATATTTTACTTTTTCCTAATTATATTCTCTTTTGTTTCATGTCTTTATAGATTTTTTAAAGAGGTGTTAGCTGACTTCAGTTACATTTTTGAAAAAAGGGGAATTTTCATCTTAAAATTAGTTTTACAGTTTAGGATAAATGTGCATTGTTTGGCAACATCAAGCCAGGAAATAATCAAGTGGCTTTGACATTATTTAACATTTATTTGATCAATACTAAAATTTTGACAATAAATCTTGTGTACAAAGTTGTTTTATATATAACAGATAAAGAAGAATGAAAAAAAAAGTTTTTTGAAAAAAAAAATAAATATCAGAACTGAATTGTCACTTTTTGTAAGGGGCTTTTTTGTCCTGTGACTTTCTGTCCTGCTTTCAGAAAAGTGTAATGTACAATAAGATTGAAGACTAAAGAAGTTCAATACTATGAACATGATGAATATCAACATCAAATATTATATATCTTAACAGAATTTATGGTTCTCTTTGATTATTGAAATTGTTAAAAAAATGAATATAGACTAAGAAAATCCAAAGTTTATTGATGAAATGTTTGGAAAAATAGCACATTTCTGATGCAGAAAATTAATTACACATTGCAGTAATAATAGTGTCTTAAGGTAAACTCTGTGGCAAGCCATTTTACTATTTATTCGAACTTCAAGATATCTCATATAATATATAAAATATCTTATATGTTTAGGTTTTTTTATAAGATGTCTTATAAACTTTATAAGATATCTTGTATACTTTATAAGATATCTTATAAAGTTTATAAGATATCTAATATACATGATATACTTTATAAGATATCTCATATATTTTATAAGATATCTTATATAGTTTATAAGATATCTCATATAGTTTATAAGATATCTTATAAAGAAAATTATATGAGATATCTTATAAAGTATATGAGATATCTTATAAAGTTTATTAGATATCTTGAAGTTAGAATAAATAGTAAAACGGCTTGCACTGGTAAACATACATCAACTAAGAAAATATTGTCCCAGATGTTAACCTTGCTATTATTGACATTCTTGATATTTTGAATATACCTTTTTAGGGCTACAGATGAGGCATCAATACTAGCTTTTGAAGGACCATGTAATATAGAAATTAGAGATGCAAGTCAGTTATCTCAAGAAGAATTTATTAAAAGGTTAGTTTTGTCTATCATATGAATAAAAAGAGAGGTTTTAGTTAACATTAATAAAACAGCAATACATCAATACAAATTGTAAAATATCAAGGCATATAATGAATACTATACCATCCTTATCATTGAAACTTAAGAAAGAGGGTTGTTTAAACCAAAATGAGTTAAATCAGTGAATATAAGACTGATTTATGTTTACAAATCCTTTACTTTTGATATAATTCACTACTACCTATAGGATTTGTTTCCCTTAAGTTTCTTTAACCAACAAATAGACTATAAAAAGCAAAAATGATAACCAATACATGTACTAGATCTACAATTAATTCTCAAGGTCAAAACTGTCTACTAACTTTTTACTGGAAATAATGTCCTTAAAGAATACATTCTGCCTGTAAATTTCCAGTTTTATTTCAAAGAAATGCACCTCTAAAACAACTTTCACAATTAAACCAAATTTAACATGACTGATTTGTAGTGTGTTTAGATTTCAGTTTGTGAATTATTTTATGATCTACATTTGTATCAACCAATGTGGATACCATGACTAAAAATAGATACAAGTTTGTGTTAAAATACAAATAGTTGACTAATATCTTAAAAACTGTAGTAGATAGAATAGGAAAATATGACGGGAGCAAAACAAAAAGGCTTGGTCAGTCATATTTTTTTGTAAACCATCAAAACTATCAAACCATTCCTTAATGGATTTATTGCCTTTTAATGATGATTTTAATAAACTTTTGCAATTGAGATTTCGGGGTATCATTGTGAAAACAATAATGGTAAGAAAGAAAGTTTAAACAAATACAAAATATCTCACTGGTCATTACCTAAAAGAGACTTTTTCAGCCTGAATTTTTACATAAATATCTATATGACATATTTTCCCAGATGAGTCATTTAGACTCCTTTGAAACTCTAGTTTAGCATAACAAAAAATGCAGACATAACACTTGTTTTACAGCAAAACTGTTGAACTTATGGCTTTTTAACATGCGAAAATGCTCATACAAGTCTTGTTTAATATTACAGATATGCTCACCAAAGTCCTGTTGTTATTAAAGGTGCAACAGATAACAGAGAATTTCACCAAATTTGTAGTAAGGATGAAATGATACGAAACTATGGGACCAAAAAGATAAGACTAAGTTCAGCTAACACATACTCATATGAAAAAAGTAAGTAATGGATCAAATACATTATCTATATCTGATCTAATTTATTCGTCCAAATGAATTTTTACTGTAAGAAAATCTTCTTAACAGATACCACTTGTTTAACTTGGTAGCAGTAAATGAAAAGCTGACTGAAAATTATAACATACTTATATATGAACTAGTACACATTTTTGTTTAGGGGCCAGCTGAAGCCCGCCTACAGGTGCGTGATTTTCTCGCTGTGTTGAAGACCCATTGGTGGCCTTGGGCTGTTTTCTGCTCTTTGGTCGGGTTGTTGTCTCTATGACACATTCCCCGTTTCCATTCTCAATTTTATTATATAAAATAAGGAGATGAGGTATGATAGCCAATGAGACAACTATCCAACAGAGTCCAAATAACATGGATTTTAGCAATTTATAGGTTACCATATGGTCTTCAGCAATGATGACAGTATTTTTTCTTTGCTTTTAAAGTTTATACTAATATACTTCTGGAATTGCATAAATACCAGTTTTCCTGTATTGTTCTTGACATTGTTTTATTAAAGCTACTTATATTTATTACATGTACTATGAAAGTAATTGTGGGAATGTAATAAAAAGTTGCATGTTAATGGGATGTTTTGTGTGTGCAAATATATTGGTGATGCATTAGGTTGAAAAAATAATAATGTAGACTGTTTATTTCAGGAGATGTATCATTAAAGTATTATATAGAAAATGTTATGAAACCTCAGACTTTAACAATGCTAGGAAATGGTATGTATATATAAACCCATTATTATGGCGGATTGTCATTTGTATGAAATCATCTTGTTTCCTCCCAGCTTTATGGGTAACAAATGAGCATTTTGTCAACTATATTGGTTGTATGAAATGATTGTATTAAAAGTTACATGTACTTCTAGCAGGTTCTTCTGACCTTTAGATCCTTTTATGTCTCGCCTTGACAGAGTCAAAAAGTGAAACTTAGGTATGCTGTTTCCAATGGTGGCAGCGTCAACAATGTCTTAGTTTGTAATTGTCAGCTTAAGGGGAACCACTAGTGGTAGGTCAGTGATATTTGGTATGAAGATGCATTAGCATTAGCACATCTCATTTCCATGAAAATAATTTTGCTCCGCCCCATCAGTCATGGTCTATTGACTTTGAATACTTTGCATAGTTTACATGTTAAGTTTGTGATTAGATCAGTTTAAGAGGAACTGCTAATGTTAATTAGTCAATGATATTTGGTATGCTGTTGTATTAGCATTTGTAATTCTCTTTTCCATGGTGATTATATGGTCCCACCCCTCAGCATTGTTCATTTACTTTGAAACATTTACATTGTTTACAAATTAAAGTTTGTGTTTAGGTTATTGTAAAGGGAACCACTTATGATAAGTCAATGGTATTTGGTATGCAGTTTTATAAGCATTGGCATTTCCCATTTCCATTGGGTAATTTGGTCCTGCACTTTAAGTCATGGTTCATTGACTTAGAATGTTTTGTATAGTTTACATGTTTTACTATCAAACTACAAAAAGGCAATGCATATCTCTGCGTAAACAGTATATTATGATTTATTAATCAATGTTAAGTTTTCGTGGTTAGGTCTGTTTTTCAGATACTTTAAGCGGTAGATCATCAATTGTTGGTGTATGGAATTATTGTAAGTTGAACATGTCTTTCTGGGCATATTTCATCTGACCATAACCTCATTTTTATGTATCACTGATAATATTAAGATTATGTGACCCCTGTAGTAAAACCTTGATCTATAGAACTTTCAACTAAAAATTCAATCGTGATCAGCAAAGCAGCCATGGAGTGTTTCTCCACAGTAAAAATACTAGTTGATCTTATCAGTTATTTCATTACTTAACAGAAGGTATACTTTTATTTAGAAACATTTTACTGGTTTGGTGACAATAACTATACAGAATGGGAGGATGTATTTAACAGATATAAACCACCACCTTATAAGTTACCACTTATGACTGGGGCCTACAGCTTTGGTGTTGCAGGTATTTTGTTCTTTGTGATTTTTTAGGTCATTCTTCTAAAAGTACATTGAGGTCCTATTAATTGAAATGAGAATGTCCGTTTGTGACTTATTTGACCCTGCAAATTAACAGAAATGAATAAAACTTTCCAAAAATGTAAGTGAAAATTGTATTGTAATGAGAAATATTTGACTGTAATGTTATACAGTAGCAAGGGGAGATAATTACTCTTCAATGTTTAAAACTTTGTTTTTGAGAGGTTGATAATAATATGCATCTCAAATTCTCTAGAAAACACGCAAACATTATCAAATCTGTTGCATGAATTTGAAAGTAAACAAAGATGCTGTTTTAAAAGCATGCAAAATCTACTGTAGGATATAATTAGAGATTTGTATGACCTTATAGCTTGTGGTATACAGCGTGAATACTTACACAAAGAGGTTGCATTAACAATACACTGCAACATTATTTTGTGCCAAAAACACAATTGTTTTCTATAGCTTTAAAAAAAATAGGTTTTCTGCTTTAAGCCCCAAAAAAAGTTGCATGGACCCCCATTTTTCTTTTGCAATTGTTTGTGTAATGAATTTATTCATAATTGCAAAGGAAAAAAAAGCATTTGTATTGGCAAGAAATCTATCTGCAGCTTTTTGTCACCTAAAATTGCATGATTTTACAAAAATTTATCTTATTCTACCTTCAACTTGGTAATTCCAAAAAAGCCTATAAACTAAGGAACAGTTTTATAAACCTGGTGAAATATCTTTTCATTTGGAAGTTTGCAATTTTTTTTTGCAAAATATTGATGAAATATGAAAACTTGCAATAATACATTTTGTAGATGCAGGGACTGGTGTACCATTTCATTTTCATGGTCCAGGTTTTGGTGAAGTTATTTTTGGAAGAAAGGTATTTTGTTAAATAAATTATACTGTACAGTTTAACCCAATCGATCAATTAGGGTTGGGAAGGTTCTATAAGTGGGCTATGTATGCCTTTAATTTTATATTCTCTCCAACTTGCAAACAAAAGTTTTCATTAGCAGATATATCGTAAACTGTCTATTAATCTATATGTCTAAAACCAATTCAAAATTAGACTTTACATTATTCTCGGGGCTGGTCCAGGACTTTTTAAAAGGGTGGGGGAAGTAATTCAATAAAAGTGAATATATACTTGGCAAAAATTTTTAGACTATATTATGCTAAAACTTAAATCGTTAAAAACATGAGATTTTACTTTTTCTTGGCGATCAAAGAATTTTTTTAAGATGGAGTACGTCCTCTACTCCCCTAGTTCTACCACTGTGAATGATCTTTAATAGGGTATCTTGATTGAAAGTTGTTAATTTTATTCCAATCTATCAACAAACAAGTCAAAAATAGAATATAGTGGGCAATTGTGTAATACTTGTATCAGGATAAATACAATTATAATCTTTCCTTCTAAGGTATTTTAAAAGTATTTAGGTTTCTCAATTATGATGCTACAATTCAGAATTCAGTGTACAGTTTATATGTTATATTAATTTTCCAAATTTAAACATCACTTTTCTGGCAATTCTGTACCATTTTGACTGGCTTCCTTTAGCAAAATGTACAACCTCCAATTCCATAGGGGATACTGTGAAGCGTTTGACTGTTGCATGCAAAATGTGTGTTGCAATGTGTCTGTAACTACTTAGTATAACTTAACATTTTGTATGGAAGTATTTATGTTGTTTGCATGGAACTAATTTTATACCTAATTTGCTGTAAGTTCTGAATTAAGAATTTATCTTAACACTGATATCGAGATGACCAAACTGACCTTAACTGCCCGTATTAAAAAAACTAACATAATTCCTAGAAGAACCCCTAAGCACAAAATTATACATATCTTTCCTCAAAACAGAAATCAATCACTGGTTTTGGATGGTAGGAATAATTTTTATTATGCTACACAAGCTTCAAAACAACCTTTCACTAGCAATAGGCTCCACAAAGGTTCCACAAGTGTTATATTGGTTTGAAAGATGACTTTAAACTGTAACTTGACAAAGCATTTTAGCAAATTGGTATTGTGAAAAGACAAATACCTTTCAAATACGCACAGTAATTGTTTTCCTTAAATTGAACAAAGTGTTGAATTAAAATCAAAATCTTGTGTAATAATATTAATTATTTGTTTTCAGCGTTGGTTTTTATATCCACCAGAGAAGACCCCCCTTTTTCATCCAAACAGAACTACCCTGCAATGGTTGTATGAAGATTATCCTAATTTACATCCAGATGATAAACCAATAGAATGCACAATCAATCAAGGAGAGGTAAGGATATCCGATATATATCTCTATCAAGTTTTTAATTACTGTGAATTCATTTATTTTCATAGATACTATTTTTGTGGATTTAGGAAAATAGGCTAACAAGCAGCTTTATAGAAAATATAAATGTTGTTGAACTTTTAAATTCATTGATTACCGGTAGCGGTATTTAAATTGTAATATTTATTTTAAACTAATGCTATTATGCTTGTTTTGTAATTGGCTATATGATATCAATACAATGCAGTGTATTAAATATTTCCACCTAAATTAAAATTATAAGTGAACTTGTGCCTTCCCATTGATAATATCTGACTTTTTTTTTAGATAATATATTTCCCAGACAGATGGTGGCATGCAACACTAAATATAGATGCCAGTGTTTTTATTTCAACATTCTTAGGATGAAGAAAATATATTAACAATCAAAACTATAAACAAACTTAGTTACTATTATATGAGTTATTATAATACCTTCTTAATTGACTAGGATTGTCAGAATTCAGAAGGTTGGTGGTTCTCTCCAGCATTCAGGCTTCGTCCACCAGGATTGACTGCCACAATATAGCAAATAGTGCTAAAATGGTGTTATATTTCAACAATCATCATCATCATCTTATGATACCTTAATATTTTTTATAAGTTCGTCATTGGTAATAACCTTTAACTGCAATCTTGCCGTCAATCTTTTCATCAATGTGTTAGACATGAACATTAGAAGGAAAGATAAAAAAAAAAGAGGCAAAAGATACCAAGGGGACATTCAAATCTCATAAGTCAAGACTAACAACACCATTTCAAAAAACACTAAATGGAAATCTAAGCCTAAAGACTGAAAACAAGAACCCCATAAACAACTATGGGTGATGTCAGGTGCACAGGAAGGGAAAGCAGATCTTGCTAAATGAGTTGATGTGATACAAGATCGAGTAATTTGGTATGGCAATTTTCATGAGGAATGATTTTTTTATACATTTCTCACAATTCTGGGATCTTTACTTGATACAATTTCAAGACATATTTTGTCTTCTTTATTTTAAGATATCAGCACAGAAGTGTAGTTTTTTTTCTTAAAGACTTACATCAGGATAACACATTTTACTGTAGTTTATCCAAGATATTGACTTCAGAATGGTGCATTAAGTGCAATAAAAAGAAAAATTAAAATTTTGAATATTGACTTCTTGATATGACCACAGTCCATTGCCATTTTGAAATTTGAACAGCTTTATGCTATCTGTCTGTTTGTCTATTCTTGTAGACCAGGGAGCATACAAGTTAACAGTGTTTATACCAACATAAAGCTAAGAACAATTCAAATTGACTATCACTATTTTAAATGAGACAAATAACAAAGACAAAAAGAAATAGATTTGAAAAATTTAAGGTCACCTTCAACAATGAGTAAAATACATTTTGTATTTGCATTTAATCCATTAACAGTATAAGTCTTATTTGTAGGTGATATTTAAATATATTTTATTGTCTAAGGCAAATACAATGTAGAATTGTCCCATAAATTACATTTAAAACAATATAGATGAAGAATTTTAGCAAGCGCTTCAGAGTCACCAAATTAACAAAACACTATTTTATTTCTAACACTGGTTCAATACCGCTGCTGGTGGGCTGTTTGCTTCCTAGGTATGATTATCCCAGTAGTTAGTGCCAGATTGACATTAAGAACATACAACTCTTAGAATTTCTGTTGAAAAATAATTTAGAAACTACCATGAAACTAAGGTTCCAACTGCCTCAGGAAAAGTTAACCTTAGATGGTGTGGATTATTCTGTTTATGTCCTTTTTGGTCACAGTGTAGCTCCAGAAGTATTTATACATAATTGGCTTTTGAATTTTTGGTTTTAGTGTTGTTTCATATTGAAGTATATCAAGAAAAGTGCCTCTACAGACACACTAAATTTAAAGTGTTTTTCTTGATAGTTAAGAATAGGACTTGACAGAGGTGAAAAACATAGATATCATGCATATGGATATTGAATTTTTTCAAAGTAATGAGTCTCATAATATGTACCATATGTGCTACTGTAAATTAGAGAATCAGATAACATTTAAAAAGATCAGTCATCAATAATTAATGTAGATTATAGTCAGATTTAGAAACGAGGAATGGCAAAAGATCTGCAATAAACTGGGCATTGAATTTTAACTGTTATATAATATAAAATGAGCTTGCTGCTATCTAATTCATTAGCTTTTATTCTTAATCAGAATGATAAATAAATCAGTCATTCAAAATTTGGTAGCAATTGGTCTTTCACATGTTGTCAATTGACAGAAACATTTCCAAAATTATATCCAATTTCAATGATGTACAATTGTTCAAATTTGGTTTTGCAACTAGATATCCTTTTGGTGAGAAAAGAGAGAGGAAACACCAAGGTGGAAATCAAAATTTATAAGTCCAATTTAAACAGACAACACCATAGCTAAAAATACTTAGAGGATCTAAAGAGCCTGTGTCGCTCATCTGGATTTATGTGCATTTTCAACAATGGTTGAACATTAAAATAGAAGATAATTCATTTGTAAGACCTCTTGATTTGTTAACCTTGTATTGGTGATGGTTTTTCTGTTTTTAGTTTCTCTCTATTTACTATAGTTTTTGCCAAACACATAAATAAAAGGGTAAATATAATCATTCAATGCAATAACTTTCATAAGAAATTGACTTTTCTGGCTTTGTTGAACTATTTGTAGATCTTGTCTTGCTTATCATTTTTGTTGTTTACAGTTTCTCTTTATCTTATATAACTTTTTCCCAACACACAATAGTTACTCCTATAAGGCGTCAACTGAAAATTTCTCGTACTGAAGTCGACCGTTTCGACCATGTAGACACATTTATACATTTATACATTTGTTCTGCTGGTCATTTTTACATTTTAAAGTTACTCGTTATCTGTTAAACAGTTATAGTTTTTCGTCATTTAAGGCAGTGACTTTAATTAGAAGTCGTCTTGACAATATAGAAGTAAATTCTCAACATTCTAAACATTTCTGCCCCTGTCAGATTTTCTCTATCTATAGCAGTTTTCAAGATAATTGTCAAAACCTGCAATTTACCCGTATGTTCTATTTTTAGCCATGTCGGTCAGATTGGTTGGCAGGTCAATGAACACATTAAAAAAAAATAGATCCGCCGATGCTGCAGATCGTGGCCAAGTTTGGTTCCAATTAGGGCCACTTTCAGAGGAGAAGATTTTTGTAAAAGTAAAAGGACGACGGACGCCAAGTGATGAAAAGGACATATATATAAAACAAACTAAAGAAAGGAAAATGGACTCAATCATGAATGATAGATCTGACATACCTGATACACCAATAGCAAACCACTCACTAAACAAAACAACTAGTTCAGATGTATGTAGACAAAAAACTTTCACTTTAAATTTGGATAAAGCAGTCTCTAAAAAAATTCTGGCTTCGAAAAGAGAAGTACATATTATTTACGAACAAACAAAAGGTGGAGTAGTGGGCACTGCAGATACAGTTACATTTGAACTCATAAAAAATGCCATCCCTCATTACTTTAATACAAAAATAGCAAATAATCGTCATGTGAAGGTAACAGAAGATCAGGATACAAGGGGTCTTACTGTCAGTAAGGTAATTAAAGTATATGAGAAAGAACAACATCAATATACTATCACACTATATTACACGAACTGCAAATGTTTGGTTAATGGAAGAGCAGTCCATATAGACATACCAGAAATACATAAAATCATAAAAGAGGTAGTCCTAAATGGCAACAAAGTGAATCTAAAATCACTAAACGAGAAACTAGAAAAAGAACTATATACACTATCTGGTTTAGAACAAACACCTCAAGATGACACAAAGTTACCAACTCAACAAGCTATAATGGACCAACCCTGCAAAACCATACAAGATCAAAATGGTGCTAAATGTAGCAAATGTAAGCGAAATGTACAAACAAGGGCAATTTTTTGTGACAAAGGTCAACACTGGATTCACTATAGATGCATAAAACTGTCTGAATCTGAAATACAAACTGGTGAAAAACTATCTGAAATAGACTATTACACATGTAAGCTATGCTTAACAGATAATCAGACAAACAACATAATGGGACCAAACACAGTAAAGTTCATAGCTAATGCAATTATGGACTCTAATCAATCAGACAAGAATTACAACTGTCATGATAGAATACAGGCTCTATTAGACGAAGAAGTACACAACGTATGCAATATATGCAATAACATTATTGATAGACAAGTTATACGTTGCTCAACCTGTACTCAACCATGTCATATTTACTGTGCATCATATAATGGTTTCGAATACACTTATGTAAGTTGTGAAATAAACATTGATCCAGATGAACAAACAAAAGTAATGACATTAACGTCTCCAACGCAGGCAAGTGCCTCACATCATACTACAAAAAATCCAGGGTCTGATTTAAGTGAAGAGAACTGTATACTATCAAACCCTATAACACAGATACCCACAACATGTACCAATGTCTCTGCTCAAGACGACTCCTTACAGTGTAACAATGGGACAATCAGCCAAAACAACTATGTAGATCCCGAGAACATCAACCAAACTACTCAACAACCAAACACAGATGGAGATCTATCCAAGAAAACAAAAGAACTCAAAATGAGTGACTTAAGGCAGAGAGAACAAAAACTAAAGAAAAGAGAGGAAGAACTAAAGATAAGAGAAAAACTAAATGAAGAAATGCAAACGGAAAGAGTATGGTTACAATCCTACGTCACATAACTCGAAATGAAAATTAATGAGTTAGAAAACTCAAATAAAATATTATAGAAAAAATGTGAGCTTAACAGATGATAAACAAAATCAACATACTCCTCATGATCATGGCTCCTCAAGCAAATATATTGAACAAACAGTTGCGAAGCTACATGAGAAAGTCTCGGGATTTATCCTCCAACAGATGGATACCCAATTTGACAACATTATCAACCAATTTAATGAAAATGTCAATAATACCTGTAACTCGCAGCCAACTAATCAAAGGATTACAAGATGTACTGACAATTCTGATATACAAAATAGTACACCAATCATCCAAGAATCACCAATGACTGGTTTCGTTCCTACAAGTAACACTGCAGTACCGAGGTCAAAAACAGCGACTACAAGTAATCAATCTAGCTACAGTTTACAAACTCAATATCAAAGCAAACGTTGCACGAAACCCCAAATAGTTAGTACTAGTATACCACCGACTCCGCTATGGGGACAACCTATATATTTTAATGAACAAAAGTCAATACCTATACATCAACATCTACACAATGGATACGTAAACCAAATTCCTCAAACAACTACAGTCAACAGAGGTCCATACTACAACAATCCCCAGCATTTGTCACAGAATAGCTACATGAAAAGAAAGTCCCATTTGACTGCTCCAAATTCCTTCCATAATATGTTTGATCAACCACCTCAACAAAACCAGAATCATTTTTTAGGGATACTTCAAAATCAACTATAACTTGCCCAACTCCTATTAAGACGACTCCACAGCAGAGTGAACTACGAATTTTATCTTTTAATTGTAAAAATGTAAAGACTATAGCCCCATTTATTGAGAACATGAGAAATCAAGTAGATATTATATTGCTTCAAGAGCATTGGTTATTCGATCATGAACTTAATCTCCTAGATGAATTAAATTCACATTTTTGTGGCAAAGGAAAGTCGATTAACTCTGGGAAAAACACATGTGATTTATTGATAAAATCAGTTAGAGGATATGGAGGTGTGGCCATAATATGGGACCGCTCAATTGATCAGTATGTAAAACCCATAATTGATGGAAACAATAGAATTCAATGTATTGAACTAGCCCTAAAAAATCCGATTTTATTAGTCTCTGCATATCTGCCAACAAAAGCAGAAAATGACAAATTTGAAGAGTTCAGTGAATATATAGACCAACTATTTGAGATTATTCAAAAATATGAGCTTACACATAACCTTGTACTTGGAGGAGATTTCAATGAGGATATTTCAAAAATAAATAACTCAAGAAGAGCATTAAAATTGAAAAAAATAATAGATGAATGTAACATGAAAGTAGATTTTAAAGGTCCAACCTTTATCAATGTTAAAGGAGAAGAAATCTCTGAAATCGATTACTTCATATA